AAGCCCTCTTGTGGATCCCTTCCCACTCAAATTAAAGCCAGAGCCTTCGAATGGGTCTATGTCCTCATGGGGCCATGCCCAGGGAGCCACTTGATTTCCCCCTTTCCCTTTAGTCTTTGCCCAAATATTGCCTTCCCAGGTGAAGCTGCCTACTCACTATACTGAAAATCGCAATCACCCCTCAGCCCTGTTTATTTTCCCATGCGCTGCAGCTCACCCGCAAAAATCCTATACAGTTTCCCTCCTCATTTGTTACCACCCTGTCCGCTAGAAGTGAGCTCCACTGCCCCCTGACCTCTTAGCACACAGAGAGCATCTATTGCCTCGAGCACTAAGCAGTTCTTCAGTGAATGGTGAATTAGTGGATTGATACTTTTAAGTATATTAGTGGTTTATCTATTTTCTTTCTTTCTTTCTTTCTTTCTTTCTTTCTTTCTTTCTTTCTTTCTTCTTTCTTTATTTTTTGTATTTTAGGGAAGGGTCTACAGGGTGTTCAGGATCTCACTACTAGATCGGACTCACAATGATCTGCCTGTTTAGAGCCTCCCAAAAGCTGGGATTACAGGCGTGCACCACCACACCCAGTCTCAATTGCCATCTCACCGCATCCTGGGGGTGGGGCTGGCACGGAAGGCCCGAGGATCGAACTCCTGGCCCCTGAGCCTGCTTGCAGGCTCTTTAATCTGCTGAGCTGTTTGGCTGGCCCTTTTATTTTCAAAGATATAAGATAAAAGAAAAGATTCTATGAGGAAATAAAAATTAGCTAAATTAATGGATTTAGGTTTAGAAAAGAGAAAAACCAGATAACTCTATAAATAATCTCCAATCAAATCATTAAATGATAAAACAGGGTACAGGGAAGAGTACACTATCTTTTCGAAATCTATGTTTCTGGAGTTTTACCCAGGAAAGTAGTGATAATGGTTGTCCCTGAGAAAGGGCCTGACGGGCCAGATCAGGGACGGGCAGGACCTGATTTCCAATGAGCACCCTTTGCACTCTTGAGTTTTGCACCCTGTGCACACGGTGTCTGTTCAAGAAAGAAACTAAAATCATAATAAAAGATTAGAATAACAAAAGACTAGCATTTGAGTGACACTCCACAGCTTAGCTCCAATTTATTGGAAATGAGATGCACCAATTCTCTTTGCACATGAAGACTGCATCCCGAGACTCGAGGGAAAGACCCCTCTACATGCATAGGCAAGACCGCGCCTGGGAGCAGGGTGGTCAGCCACGACCGCGCCTGGGAGCAGGGTGGTCAGCCATGGCAGCCTTGCTCACCGAATACCCTCTGCCAGAGAAGAAATCGTGGCTACCCAGCAAGCACTGCTCATCTGATCCAGTCAACAGCCCACGTGGTCCCTCCAAGGAGATCCAGGTAAAGCATGGAGACTGAGGTGCCCACCAGCATGGCAAGCCAGGCTGCTTCGGGACCCCCTTGGGAAGCCAGGCTTCTTCGGGACCCAGAGGTTTTCTCTCTCACAAGGCCCATCTGAACCATTCAGACCCAATTGCCTCCAGGCCAGGGATGTCACAGCCCCCATTTGCATCGTCTCTTCATTCACCTCAAGGGTGTCCAATAACCCCCCTGCCTGTCTGAGCCAAGACTGCTCTTACCCACAGCAAAATGAAAAACACACAGTATATGTAGTCACTGTTTATACTACTAGCTTAGTAAGTTTTGGGAGTGTACAAATATCTTCCTTGAATCCTCTGAAGCCTCAGCACTGGCGATACAGCAGGGCTATTAATCTAATTAATTTCCTCTGTTCTAACTTCTACCCTGACAGAGGCAGCTTCGTGTCCTTATTTGACTTTTCCTAACTGCAGGAAAAGTGAAAGGGCTGGTGCTGGCCAGCTGTGATTTCAAAGTATTCTGGCTTCTGCGTCAATTGTTTCTATTGTGAATAAATAAGGGGTGTCACTGTGGGATTGGAGCTCTTCCTTGGGATCGCTTAATGTGAGGGTGCCCACAGACCTGCTCCCACCCGCCACCCAAAGGCCCAAGAGCAAAGCCCAGCCCACAGCAGACTCACCATCCTGTGCCACCTTCCGCTGCCCGTCCTCACCCCGGCTCCCAGATAGGAGCAAATACAGAAGTCTAGCTTTACTTGGAAACGCGGCAAAGTAAGCATTTCTAAGCCACGGTATGCCATGCACCAGCCAAGCCCTTAGAGCTCATCTTTTGATTGGAAACAACATCCAGTTGGAGCAATTATCTCCTTAGGAAACACATGTACAAAGGCAGAAAGCATTTTATACATGACTGATGACTATATTAGAAACTAATTAGTGTTGGTGGGTGGTAGGTAGGGGACAGGAATGCAGAGGCACTTTCTGCTGAGACTTTTGAAATTCTGACAAAAAAATATCACCCATTCACACAAGAAAAAGCATGCTTGTATCTCTTTGGAGCCTTGGTCCTGATGGAAGATTGTGCTGCATGAAGTTTTCTGTCTCCAGCAGGGGATAAACTCAGATCCCTCCATAGAGAAGGCGTTCCTAAGGCGAAGAATGTGTAATAACCCTGCATTCTTGTTTCTGTATTTGATGTTCGAAAGTCCTGGAGCCATGCTGGTGCTGGACGGCCTCTCCCCGATGTAAGCAGTTCCTAGCCACCGCAAAGGACTCCCCTCCTGACTCTCGCTTCCTGTGTGTACCAACCAGCCAGAATCCCCGCCCCAAGACCTCCTGCCCTTGCCTCTCCCACTCTGGGCCACTGTCCACCTCCCCTAATCAGTGCAGCCCAGCATCAGGCACCAGACAACTAGGGACAGGGCCAGCTCCGTGTTTCAGAGCCCCTGAAATTGCTCAGAGTGTCTGGTGCAAAGCCAGCTCGCCCTGCTGGCCTGGCGCTTCCCAAGCACTGCAGCGAGGACTCTGCTCCACGTGCCCTCTGCTCTCTGCGTTCAGACCCACCCTGGTGCTGTGGGCGCAGCTCCCAGGGTCTGGCAACACGACCTCCCCAATGCCAGACGCCTCCTGATCTGTAGACCTGGATGTGCCCCCAAAATAATAAAATCAACATTTTAAAACAGAAGAGCCTAGGATAGAATCCTAGTCCACAGGAGGGACACTCACATCATGGACACGGGACAGAGATTTCAGCTGCAATTAGACAGGAAAAGAAGCGCTGTGATTTGACAGAATGCCCTCCTAAATGAAGCCAAGAATGTGTTCTAGCCCCAGGAGAAGCGGTGAAGGTTAGGACACATTGCTCGGGGCAGCTTGGCAGTTACCACCCCTGCATAGATTTCTATTAATAAGTGTTCTACCCGTGAGCACCACATGTTTATTAATGAGCCCACAGTCAGCTCAATTACCAGGCGACTCGCGCTTGTGTGTCACCCCATGACAAGGGCACATGCCAGGGAGTGTCGGTTCTGCGGTCATCGCGAGAGGCTGGGCCGAGTTTGCATTCACAGTGAGCATGTTTCGCTTCAAGCACACTTCCTGTGTGAAAAGCAGCATTTATTTGCCAAACAGACAAAGACAGGATGATTCCTCACCCTATAAATAGCACCTGCTGAAAGTTCTTGTCAAACAGGAAAATTAGGTGGCTTAGGTGATTTGATTCACCAAACGGAATGCATTTTAATTGCACATTGGGCGGGACCCTGTCTGTGCAGCCAGCAAGGCATTGGACCCTGTTGTCAGTAGCCAACGGGAGTCCTGGCCACTACCGCCAAGGGCCCCTCAGTTTCCAGAGAAACCGAGGCCATGTGGTCACAGCGCAGAAGAGGAGCAGTCCCTGGACAAGGGTGGGCAAGAGTGCGAACTTCCGCTCAACTCAGAGCGCCTCAGGTGCTGGTTCCCAGAAGTGACGGGCTGGAGGCTGGAGACTCACTGTTCTTTCTCTTGGCCAAGTTCCTTGTAACTGTTTTTCTGTTCCTTGCTGGTGCTTTAAAGGTGGAATGTTTCGCATGAAAAGTCAGGCTTCTAGTCTCTATTAAAAAGCGAGGGGAACGGGACACAGATTGCACTCTTCTAGGTGGCAGTCAGTGAACCCCCTTGCTCAGTGCATGAGCTCCCCGCTGGCTGCCCCCTGCACTGCTGTGCCTGCGCCCTCCTACAGTGACTCAGTGCTGATAACCCCATCGCACTGTGCTTAAAGGGATCTTCACCAGAACTTACAGCTCTCGCCAGGCTGGCGACATGAGAAGTGGCCCTAGAAGACCAAGTTTCCAGGAGGAAAAGGAAGTCAGAGAACGCTGTGCTGTTGTGCTAGGGCAGCACAGCCACTTCAGGGCCCTTTTGCAGGGGTGGAAACAGTGGAGCGTCTCCAGGAAAGCGCCGAGGAGGGTTCAGGACACCAGTTTGGATCCTGAGAGGGAAATACCCTCGAGTAAGGAGGGAGCTGAGGGGCTGCAGTGACCGATCACACGGACAGATTCCATTGCTAATGGGACCAAAAGCTCTAGCCTCATATGGAACCCAATTGGGGTGTTAGAAGGGGCAACTGGTCAACCCCAGTCAGCCACTTCACAGAATGTATACAAAATCAGGATACACTGGGCCTGGGGACGTAGCTCAGCAGTAGAACTCTTGCCTACAAGCTGGAAGCCCTGGACTCAGTCCTTGGCATCAAAAAAACCAAAAAATAAACTCTCCTAAAAAACAATTTGAAAAAATACAATAAAATCAAAAATCGGGATACATTAAGATGCACACAACTGGGAGGCCCAGGGAATAGAAAGTCCACAACCAAGAGCATGCGCCGCAGCTGGGTGGCGCAGCGGGTCTCCGTGCCTGCCAAGAAGGAAAGCAGAGAAGCGAAAAGTCCCAAGTCAAAAGGAAAGAAAGATAAAAGGCTCAAGCTGTTTGTTCATTTTTCATTTTGGACAGACCAGCCCCGAGTGGGACAGTAGCACACACCCACACACTTCCAACAACGCGACCAGGACAGCGCTGGGCCCAGCCCCAAGGGAGTCAGTGTTCAGTTCTCATCTTTGCCTCAGCGGGGGACAAAATGAACCACACCCTTCTTCACAAAGATCTTAAATAGATCAGAGGAATAGATTTTATTTCATTAAAATAGATTAAAAACAGACTGTGTAAAAGAATTAGAATTCTCAATAATTTACTATTATTTACACTAACAAATGCTGGTCATTAGTAGACACCGTGTGGGGACCTGGACCCTGCATCTGAGGTGGGCTCGGAGCCTCGAACTTCCTCCCGTCCCCAGCCCTTGAGGTCACTACAGCCGGGATGCCACTTGGCACACAAGACAGGAGTGTCAGATGTCACGTGGCAGCATCGAGCGTGGGCTGCAGGGCTGAGAAGCTCGTGGCTTCTCTGGATGGCCCCTTCTCTCAGGCCAAGTCCACAGGCATACCCGCCCCTCCGTTATATCTCCTTTCTCCTTTTCCAGTTCTCCCGTGTGTGTTTGACCTACAGAAAAGCTCCTCTGGGGTGACATAAGCCTAGTTTCCAGAGAGCCCTCGAAAAACCCAAAGGAAAGCCACACCCCTGGGGAAATCCTGGATTTCTGAACTAAGAGATGTTCATTGTCCAGAACTTGGGAACTTGTGCCTCTGACAGGTGAGTGGGCGGGTGGCCCGGGAACTCTTACCCACAGGGATGCTCCAAGAGGGCGCAGTAACTCCAAGAGCGAGCCCAGTGGAGCACACGCCCTGCAGGCTCTGAGCGTGGGCAGGGAGCAAGTCCCAGGAGCTGCGAGGCAGGCTGTGGCGTCCAGAGGACAGAGGAGAGCCCCCAGGAGACAGGCTGGCGGCCTCCCGAGTCACACTCTCTGGAGGCAAGCCGTGCCAAGGCTGCTGACCCCTGGGCCTTGCTGTGGCCAGTGGGGGCTCAGTGGCTTCCCCTGCAGGGCGCCCAGGCTTCATGGCGACGGGACCTGGGCCTGCAGGAGGCGGAGGGCTGAGCAGCAGCTGTGATGACCAGCGCCACGCTGCGGACGTCATCGCTGCGGACGTCATCGCTGCAGACGTCATCGCTGCGGACGTCATCGCTGCGGACGTCATCCCAACGTGCAGTCAAGGGCAGAGGTGGGGGATGCCTGGTGAGGAGGCTCAGTCCAAAATGTCCGTCTCGAAGGGGACCAGGTGGTAATAGGACAGGTTGGTGACATAAGCCTCGGGGTCGTCACCATCCTCCAGCTCTGGGGTGAACTCGCCGCCATTCTCAAACCTGAAACAGTGGAGATACCAGTGAGGCAGGCCGGTGGCAACAGCTCACAGGCGGAGCCCCTCAGGGAGCCCGCATTGCCACCTAACAGCCCCTGAGTGCTCGAGCAGACGGCTCCTGGGGCACAGCTGCAGCCAGAACTAGCAGCCTAGACCAGCGAGGGAGAGAGCGGTGAGCCGGGCCAAGACTCCCTGGCCCTGCTCCCCTGCCACCCTGGGACTGTCCCCACCTTGAACGCAGAGCTTTGCCCTTGCCGTCTCCCCAGGGGAAAATGTGTGGTCTCATCTGAGTGCTCCTGGGGAAGAGTGGGGTCGGAAGGGACTCTCCCAGTCTTCTCCACTAAGGTGGTCCCTGGCCAGTGGCCCCTCACATGGCTAAGGACTCCCTGCTCCTCCTCTGTGAATCCGCATCCACATGAGCCCCCTCAGGGCCAGACCTGTATGCACAGAGGCCCCAGGAGAGGACCTGGTGAGCTGCACCTCAGGATCTGTCCTCTCACCCCTAAGGCAGGGGGTTGGTGGTTTCTCCCAAAGCCCCTCCACAATCAGTGACGTGGTCTCCCAAAAAATCACCAAATCAGGTTCTCAGCAGACTCCAAGAAAGACAAACTTTCAAAAGGAGTATTCAGATATGAGCAGAGTCCCTGGCTGGGGCCTTTGGGCACATCCAGCCGTTGGCGTGCAGCCTCGGCTCCTGCGTGCATGCCAAGGGGACCCCTTTACCAGACACTACTCACAAGTGCTCTGTGGGATCCACCTCCTGCTGCTGGTCTTTCCCATTTGGTATACTGTGGTCGATGACTATGGTTTCTGTGTTTGCCAAGCAAAATCCATTGGACCTCATGATTTCTGAAAACCAAAGCAACAGATCCAAGTTGGGGTTTTGAAGTCTTTCCTCCCCCTCTTCACCCCACTGTTCGCTTCCTCCCTGACATTGCACCTGAAGACCATTCTAGATGCTGCTAGGCCGGTGGGAGGGGCACTGAACTGCGGAGGCTGTGCCCACGGGCCTTGCCTCTGCCCTGCACGCTCTGGCTGTGTGCACCCTCCACACATGCCCTTCCCATGGGATGAAAGCTAGAATGGACAGGAGGAGGACCGGCCCTGGGTGTGAACTGGGTTTGAGACCCGCTGTGCTGTGCAGCGGGGTGCGACCTCTCACAGGTCATCCAGCCTAGCTGAGCTCTGGTCGCCGTAAGATAGGGCCAGCAATGTCTCCTGCTGGGCTGTGGTAAGGATCTAAAGAGAGCAGTGTGCATTTTAAACTGGAAGCAAGTTGCCTGCTTTGGCTTCCTATGATTCCAGAGAGGCACTGGTGTTTTCTTCCCCTCAAAAGCACAGATGTTGGTAAATCACAAAAAGCCACCTAAGAAAAAAATTATGTTATGTGCCTGACAGCCGTGTGGTGTCAGTTGGTGAGGGCCAAAGTCAGGGGCTTGTCCCTGGCTGAAAGAGCTTGGGGTGGAGAACGGGAGACAGTGAGTTCCACAGCTCCGGGACTCCTTGACCCATGGAGCGTCAAAGCGGTACTAACTTACAGGCAGGATTCTGTGAACACTGACACCTCCCAAACCCCTCAACCCCAGCTCAGCACCTCGCCCATTTAAGAACCATGGTCCTTGGGGGGCCGCAAGGCACTGTTCCCAGACACCCAGGGTACCCAATCTGCAGATGCCCAAGTCCCCTCTATACAATGGCACAGCATCTGCATAGAACCGACACACACCGCCCGTGTGCATTAAGTTGCCTCTAGGTGGCATCTAGTGCCCCATGCAACTTAAGCACTGTGTCCCTAGTGCCTACTCTGCATCGTTCAGGGAACAGTGCTAAGGAAAGAGTCCACATGCTCAGTACAGAAGCAATTGTTTCCAATATTTTTGACCTGTGATTGGTTAAATTCAATGGCTTCAGAACCCCTCTGCATGGAAAGCCAACTGCACGAGGCAGTAGCCTGGCCAGGCGGGGTGCTGGTGCCTGCTGTCCCAGTTACTCAGGAGATCATGTCAGGAGGATTGCTTGAGCCCAGGAATTCCACGACACAATGAGTAACACAGCGAGTCACCCCTCACCCCTAAGAAGTACAGGGAGGCTAACTCCCTTCTCCCTCCTGGCTGCTGTAGCCTTTGCAGTTCCCTTTCCATCCCTTCCCTCAGGAGATGAACACATCTGCTGGCCAGTTGCCAGTTCTCCATGCCTTGAAGTCCTCCCTGCCCTCATCCCTAAAGTATACTCCACATACCTAGAGCATTCTCAGGCCAGGGGTGGAGGTTGGGGGCTGGGGGTGGGGGAGCAGTGCATGTTGGGAAGGAATGTACCACTGCAACCACCTCCTCTGGCTGCAGCCCTGCCTACTCGAGAGCAGCAGGTACCACCCACCGTGTTCTGAGCCAGGGTCTCTGGCGGTCACTCTGTTGCCCAGCGCAGGCTCAGACTCACTGGCCTCCTTCCTCTGTCTCCCAGAGTACCACATTCCAAGCGTGCATCCCCTGGCTGGCATACTTCTTGATCTTTCTAGGTTTTTGATTCTCAGTTCTTTGAAATTCTCTCTATATGAATAGTCTTGGGGCCTATAGAAAAGCAGAAAAAGAAAAAAATACCCCTCTCCACAGTAATGCACGAAGGGGTGTCACCAGTCAGATTTGTAGCTGCTGGGATTTATACTTGGCTTTCTGAAAAGGGGTCACTCACAGTTGGGGGGTGCTCCGCAGCCCCAGCAGTCCCACTCTGTGGGGTCTTGCTTCACCCTTGGGACCTCACTTCAGGGGATCCTTCCCTGCCTTCCTGTCTCACTCTCACAGGAACTGCAGCCGAGGGAGCTCTGCAAGCTGGGAAGAGTCTGGAATGGGGTCAACGACACCTCAGGGCACAGCCTGGCTGAGCCCCGGATAGCAAAGCTGCTGTCTCAGCAAGATAGGTTCAGGTCTCCCACTTCTCAGTTCAAAGGGGGTGGCAACACAGAACCACTTCCTTGACTGTTTTTATTAACTTTGACCCAAATCTCTCTGAAGAAGTGCTTAAAACCTCGGAGCAGCCTCTGTGTCCCTCCTGCCACCCCTTTGCTAAGGGGGGTGGGGGAGGTTGGAGGCTACAAGTCCCAGCAAACGGCCCCACTGCAACTTACTTCTGGACACAATCCTCAAGCAGCCGTGCGCACTGTCTTTCTCCCATGTGTATGTGGCCATTTTTCCCAAAGCCCCCAAAATAGGTTCCCAACAAGTCTCTGTTTAGTTTCTGTGACAAAAGCCTTTATGCACATAAGTGTGACTTCCTGGCTCACAAGGCTGGGGCCCCCAGGACACTACACACATGTGTCATGCTTGGAGTCCTCAGACACAAGCTACGCTGGTGCCTTGTGAGATCTCGGAGGCGCCCTGGCTCCCTCCTGGACCCCTATCCACTCTGGCAGCCCCAAGATTTTGAATAGCCTTGGGGTAACCCAGGTTCTTTAACGGTAAGTTTGTGACCAGATTCAAAACATATGTCCCAGACTCTGGCTTGCTTACGAAAAAGCGAACTATCTTCTAAATATATTAACAGGTATCAAAGTGTGGCCAACTTCCAGCTTAGCAGAACATATAGGGCTTTTTCAAGCCTGCGCTAGCGGCAAGTGCTTCCACAACCACTTGAATTTTTACCTCTTCTGTCACATAACAAGTCTTAGGAAGAATTGTACAAATTAGTGGTTGGCCAAAGTTTAGAGAGATGCCAAGAGCACTTAGCTTGGGTTTATCAATAGAGGCATGGAAATTGGATGTCCACCCTGTGGGGCCCAGACGCAGCGTGAGGTGACAGGCACGAGGACTGGGAATGCCGGGCTCACATCAGCGCTATGCCCAGGGCACTGTCATCCCACCTGCCGTGCCATGTGTAAAAAGCAAGAGAAAATGCTGTAGAGAAAATTACAGCCCCAGAAGCTCCTCTCCAAACATCTTTAAACGTGAATTTCCCATAGTAGCTTTTATTTTCTTCTAATTAATTTACAAAACTGCGTGTGGTGCATGAGTTAAGTCCAAGAGCTTAACAGGGACAATACTGAAAACCGCCGCCCCTCTCCCTCAAGTCTCCCCCTTTTCCTGCTCATGTCCCTTCTGACTGTTCCGGATCCAAGCCAGGACCCCTTGTTGCACTGAGCTGTTGAGCCCAGGCCCTCACATCCTCAAGGGTTCCCTGTCTTTCCTTGACTCTCCTGACAGCGACCCTTGTGAAGAGTACAGGTGACTTTTTTTTTTTTTTTTTTTTTTTTTTTGCATCAGGAATCAAACTCAGAACCTTGCACTTGCCAGGCAGGCACTGTGCCACTGAATTATATTCCTGGGCCTGGGTGACCTGTTTTAGGGGGTGTCTCCATGTTGACCTTTCAAGGGATTAGATCAAGGTGAAGTACTTATCAGGAACCCCACAGAAGCACTGCTGCGTCCTCATTGTCACACCTGGGGTGGTACATCCGTGTGAGTGTGAGCGTGTGTGTGCCCACGTGTGTGTGCCGGCATGTGTGTGAAGTTCCCACCATTAAGGACACTAGCAGGTATCATTTACAAAAGCGTTCTGCCAAGTGTCTCCAAAATCAGGCTACATTCTTGCGCTTCAAACTTAATAAATACCTAGAGGGATGCGCCCTGAGTCTTCACAAATTCTACTTGTTGCTAAACTTTCACCCACTGACCACATTTTTGGTGTGCCGTCCGTGGGTGATCTCCCTACTTCTTCGCTGCGTCTCACCTTTCCTCCCACCCCTGCCACCACCCTTCACTGAACCAATTATTCCCTCTTGAGCAGATATTCCTCCTCATCCATAGAGGTGCTCCGCGAGGAGCTTTCCGCCCTTGCAAATCCCAGGCTATTTTTAACACACTCCGGCAAGAGAACAAAACCCAAAGCAACACTTCTTTTTAGGACCTGGCTGGCTGGGCTGTCCCTGCGGAGTAAAAACAAAGACTGAGACAGTACAGAGGAGCAGAGCGGGGAAGAAGGCATTGCAGGAACAAAGACCCGTCGTACAGCTGGACCAGCCCCTCACATCGGACGTGATCATTACACACCCCAAAGACATGCTGGGAGAAAGAAAATGTTTAAGAAGAGATTTGCAGAGGCCGGATTAAAAAAACTGAAATTATATATTTTTTTTTTCCAGGCCTCTCAAACCTGAACGATCAGATCCTGCGGCTCCACGTGGGCCCCCAAGCAGCCACTGCCAACGAAAGGCTGAGATCTACGACTCCGTCAGGCACGCAGCCATCGCCGCAGTGCAGAGCCCTTTGCGTGCTTGCTTTCTTGGATTTGGTAGGCATTTGGGTTAGCTGGGGCAAAGAACGCCCAAGGCCGCCTTGGCCGCGCCCGGCGTAGGCACGTTTCTCACCAAGACTGGCGACTCGCGCCATCTAGTGGACGCCTGAACACCGAGCAGCCTCCAAGCCAAGGCAGGCGTTCGGCGCACTGGTGCTGCCTAGGTCAGGACCAAAGAGAAGGCCGGTGTCCTGCCCCGGCCACCACATCCACATCGCTAGACACCAGAAAGCATTAAGACACCCACGGAGTAGTGGGGAGGGTGTGTGTGCATGTCAGCATGAGTGATGTCTCCCAAAGGAAAGCGACAGGAAGGGGCTGCCGGAAGCCAGCCCGTGTCCCACGGTGGAGGAGGCCTGGGCTCAGGAAAGGAGGTGGTCATTTCAGCACTCTTGGGCCGGCCGGGGAAATAGCTCAGTAGAATAAGCGCTTCCCTGGCAAGCGCAAGGGTCTGAGTTCAATCCCCAGTTCCACCAAAAAAAAAAAAAAAAGAACTCTTGGGCTAGGCTTGCCATGCCCGGGATGACGGGGACTCTTGCTCAGTCCCACGCATGCTGCTGGGCCCCACGTTCGTGCCTCTCCTCACTCAATGCTAAATGAGGCATCAGGTGGGGGCCCAGCCTGCTGGTTGGTAGGGACACCCGGAGGGGGAAGAGAAGGGAGCACCCACGGCTGCGTTTGCTCTGTCCCCGGCCCACTGCCCACACAGCAGCGCCCCACAGCTCCCCGACCCAGGCTGCGGACGCCACATGCTGGGAGAACTCTGCGCCCACCAAAGCTGTCCACAGTCACACTCTCCCGTGCCCCATGCCAGCCCCGCCTGCCCCCAAGGCTTGTCCAGGCCTGGGGCAGCAGCCTCTTCCTCCCACCTCTCCCCACCCCAGCCCGCTTCTCTGGATGCAGAGATTCCCAGAGTCCCCAGGGCCGGACGCAACAGCCCACCCACAGCCTGGGATCTGGACTAGCACACAGAGCTCCCTAGACCTGGAGGCCCCGGAGGCTTGGGATAGCAGCAGGCGTAACCCGGCCCTTGGTCCCTGCAGAAAAACAGGAAGAATGTGCCCAGAGCCCCGTCGTGTGTCTCTGCTGCTGATTTCGTTTCCTCTCATTACCTTTGGAACCGACGCAGCCCACAAGCGCAGGGTGCTCACCCCGACATGGGACAGGAAGACAGAGGCAGGGACGCTGCCAACTGCTGCTCCAAAGACTCACTCTCCAGAGAGTCCCACGCAGCCTGTCTGTCCCCCAGCTCGGGGGCGCCGGGGCGCCCCAAAGCAACGGCCCAGCTGCTACAGGAGGCCAGGTCCTGTCTGCTCTCTCATTTGCTCAAAGTGGCGCAAAATGAAGCAAAACAGAACATAGGACTTGGAGCGAGGACCCTCCCCGCTCAGATTAGCGAGCAGGAGCTCGCCAGCGTGACACTGTTTCTTAAACAAGTTCCAATCAACCTCCCAAATGTGTCCCTTTGGAAACAGGGAGCTCGTGAGCTGCCAGCCCACAGACAGAAAACACACAGCCTAATAAAAACTGAGGAGCAGTTTCTCACCCTCTATGTTTGTAATAAACTGTCTTTGTGTGGCCCTGGCGTAGATGGTGTGGCCCACCAGGAAGAGCACACCGGAGGGGCCTGGGCAGCCATGCGCAGCAGTGACAGCACCTGTCCTCCACCCCTGCGCAGCTCTTACCTGATATTCTGACCGGACTTTGAAAGCTGGGTTGAATTTTGTGTACATTGTCATTTTTTAGCACCTGGTCCAGAGGCGATCTTTCAAAAAAAGTGAGCACCACTTCCGACCTAGAATACTGGGAAGAGAAGCAGTAATTACTAAAACAGAAGTTTCCGGAGTTGGCCCCTCCTGCCTGGCTGGCCAGGGCAGAACCTGCCCTCCTCCACCACCCGCTGCCCGCTTCAGGAGGGACCTGCAGCACTTCCCAGGCTTTGATGAGGGAACACGCCACAGGCCTTGGTCACTGCTGCCCCAGGCAAGCCCTCAGGGATGGGCCAGGGTTTAAGGACACAGCTGCAAGAGGGTGCGGCATTCCCACCCACCTCGCCTTCCTTCAGGATAAACTGAGAGCTGAGCCCGCTCTCCCCATTCACCCAAGAGAAGCTGAGAGGAGGCGAGTCCCAGCTCTTCTGCATGGCTTCACCGTCCACAAGGGCCCCACCCACAGTTCCCTGGGCCACCACAACAAAGAGCCACGTGTGAAGTTCCACTGTTTCCTTCAGCCCCGTAGACTTTCCCCAAGCCCCTCAGGCCTAGGGCCTAAGCCACCACCCTTTCCCCTTTTCATACAGAGGGTGTCCGAAAGTCAGGCCCAGCTTCCATGCCGCAGGGAAGAGCGAGAGGGCCGGGACACGTCCACTGTTACACTGAGGGCCCACCCCCAGTGCCCTTGGTACGAAAGGTCCTAACACACCTGTATGGGGGAGATGGGGCTCGGGGTATGCGCAGATGGGAAAGCGAGACCGCTGCAGCCACAGGAGCCTCCCTGCCCCCGGCTATGCCTGCCCTCTTCCCTGGTGCCCAAAAGCCTGCGTGACAGGCAGCGAGCAGCCTGGTGACCGTTTGGGAGGGGGCAGCCGGTGAGCGGCGGCCGGTACGGACCTTGCAGGGCATGCTGATGATCAGCTTGAGCAGCTTCTCCACCTCGTTGAGCCGGGTCTCTATGTCATGCGCGTTCTTTATGGCGACCAATCCTGGAAGAGACACCAAGGCTCCAGTCAGAAAAGCACAAGTTCTCCTAACTACACTCGCAGTGGGTACCCCAGGGCAAGCACGCCACCTGGAAGTCCCCCTCCACAGGAAGTGTCCGGGAATGTCAGGCTCCTCTTTATCTGAGAGGGATCCCTTTTGAGACCCGCTGGGGAATGCCTGAAGCCACAGAGAAGGACGAGCCCTTTCCATCTTCTGTGGGAACTGTTTATATTGGAGGCGGTCGCAAGGCAAGCCTGAAGTTCCTTTCCCTTCTTCACAGGTTTAAGCCAGACGATTCTCACTTAAATGCATCTTAGCAAACTCAGCTTACGGCTTTTCTCTTTCCTTGTTTATTTGAAAACATCCCCCTTTTCACCTGGAGTCCCTCAGCGCTCCTCCTCCTCCTCGACACATCATGTTGCCAGCCTCACTACTCCTGCCTTTGGGAAAATTATTAAGTGAAATGAGCGTTACTAGAACAGAAGCACCGTGCCAGCAGGACAGCAGACCGGTCACCAAGGTGGCTACGAGGACCAGCAGAGTGGCCGCGTACGCAGCGCAAACACGCTGGGCAAAGGTGACTCGCAGCCAGGCAAGCCCACAAGTGCATCGCGGTATTCAAAATGCTGTGCGACTGAAGGCTTAGTAATTGTTTATTTCTCTAACTGACCATTGAGTACTTTCAAAGAACGGGCTGAGAGTGGGTAACTGACAGCAGAAAGCAGGGCCTCAGCCTGGCCTCTGGTGCTCACTCAGCCTCGGTGGCGCGCAGAGCCACATCCTAACAGTCCTGCTCTAAAGCTCCCCAGAAGCTTCACCAAACCAAAGAATGATTTCTGTTTCTGCTGAGGTTGGAGCCACACACACAAAACAAGTGCTTGGGACCAGCAGAGAGGTATGGGAGCCCGGAGATACGGGAGCCCAAGTGGGACATCTAACCCACTCCACACACACTGTGGGCAGAACTGGGGCTCCAGCCAGCACCACACAGCCCCTGACGGTGTAGGGCTGCAGCCCAGGACCCACCACCCTCAAAGATGCAGGGAAGACACCTCCAATGACCACAGCTGTCCAGACCACAAGGCCAGCGAAAGCAGAACCCACATTCTGAGAAGCCATGTAAATGCTGAGTCAGGAAGAAAAAATAATTCAGAGAAAATCATTGCGGGTGGGACTCACATGCTTTCCAGGAACCCAAGCTCCCTGTGGTAAGAGGCCCCGAGAGGCTGTTCGGCTGTGTGGGAATTTATTCCTAAAATCCCAGAGCTCAGCAGATGTGGCCAGGCCCATAAGCTCAGCATTTGGAAGGCCAAGGCAGGAGGAAGGTAAACTAAAGCCCAGCCTGGACCAGACTCAGCAAGACAGTGTTTCAAAATGAAAGGTTGAAAAGAAAAGGCGTGGGGGTGTGGCTGGTGCCAAGGCCCTAGGGTCAACCCCCAGGGCTGGAAAGGAAGTGGGAGGGGGATTAAAAATGGAATAAAGACCAGCAGAGAAACAGCCTCTCCGGGACCTGGGATCAAGACACCGGGACAACAATGACTTACATGAAGAGGGACAAGAGCAGAGCTCCCGAAATCAAGACAAAGCTGAGAGAAAAACTAGACACTACAGAGAAACTGGAGAAATTAAAGATAACTCAGAAAAGAAATCAGCCTGGAATACCTACCCCACTCCAGGGAGGAAGTCCTGTCTTCACAAACACAAGGTCATGGTTTTTTTTTTTCTCTCCCAGCAATGTTGGGAATTGAGCCCCTGGGGAAAGGCCGGACACTAAGAAAACCCTCAACTATTATACTGAAAAGACTGAAGAAAGGCAGAAACAGCAAAATGTAGCCACGCCCAGGGACATGTCACAGGGAGAGGCTAACTGGAGGGACGTGGGGTCGGCAGTTTCTGTGATCTCTTATCTTCAACCCACAGTGCAAAAACAGGGCAAGAGGACAAGATGCCACCCAAGCCCTGGGGCCCCAAAACTGAGCTCAGAGACACTGATGCCGAGGAACTGAGAGGCAAAGAAGTCAGAAACTGAATGGTCCGAATAGGTGAAGGGATAAAACAAGAAGCATGTAAGCAAACGCCTAAGCTGTTTGGAAAGCCCAAGAAGGCTTGCATGAAGCAGGTGAAGGGAATTTACCAATAAATGTTCAAGCTTAACGAAGAAACACATGACAGTCTGAGACAAGGGAGACAATCCAAGATGTGAGTCACCGCTTCGGAAAAGAATTAGGAAATGTAAAAAGAAAGCAGGGGTGATGGACGACACGAAAAATCCACTGGGACACATGGGCAGCAGACTTGACCGATGTGGGGACAGAGTCAGGAGTAGGTTACAAAGTGGGCATAGTAGGGAATAAACTCAGTAATGCCCTAAACATGACAAGAGACCACGTAAAGTGGATCCCACTGCTGCTAGATGACTCAAAGAAACTAACCACAGAATTACAGGAATAATAATAATAATAAACAATGAGAAGATAAATCAAAAGAGATTCACTGAAGTCAGAACCAAAATGTTTCCAAATCTAGAGAAGGGATTCAATATCCAGGTGAATGACACATAGAGCAAAAGAGCCTTCCCCAACACATCGCAGTCCAAACGTAAGAAATTCAGTGCCGGAGAGGACACTGAAAGTCCTCAGAGAAAGTAACAAGTCAGCTACCAGCAGATTCCTTAGAATCTGTGTTGGCATTCTGTGATAAATAAGTGCGCTTTGGGTTGCAGTTTAGCACTCGGTCTCTAAAAGGTTCCCCGTCACTGACCTAAGACAGCCCTGTCCCTGTGAGAAGGAATCAAGCCACAGAGTCCGAATCCTTGAACTCAGTCAGACCTTTGGTGAGTCTTCCTTTTCAGCAGTACTGGTTTGGTTTGGCTTCACAAACAGCAGGTTTCTAAGCACAAATATTAAACAAAGGCCTTCAGAGTCTGCAGAGAAGTTTTTCAATCCCTAAAAGAAAACAAGTGTCAACCCAGACTTTTTTAACCTGCAAAATTAGCCTAAAAATTGATAGAGAAGTAGAGACACTTTGTGACAAAGAAATCCTAAATACACGATTACTGAACCAGAAAATACTTAAGAGAATCATAGACAGAGAGACAGGCAGGCCACAAGCACCAAAGAGCCCAAGAGGATACATCTAACTGGATTGGATCAGTAATTAAATAAAAGAAAAACTAAAATAACCAATACTGGAAAAACAATGTGATGACAGGATTCAGCAAACACCTTCCTGTAATAATGCTCAACGTCCATGGTCCCAAGTTACCAATCGAAAGACATAAACTAACAGCTTAGATAAAAAATAAAATGTAACAATTCATTGCCTATAGGAGACACATCTCAACCAAAACTAAGTGCACGGGACTAAAGAACAGGGACGGGAAGCAGTGCATGCGGCACAGCTGGAGCCTGAAGGTGGGCAGGAGCAGCCGTCTTGCCTTCAGATACCACACGCTTCAAGCCAACACTGATCAGAAGAGACGCAGGTAGCTGCCATGAGCCGGTAAAGAGAACACTTCAGCAGGAGACACCAGCTGCAAATGCTTACGAGCTGAAAGTCAGTGCACCTAATTTCCTAAAGACTACCGGACCTAAAGTGTCAGATAGACACCAATACAGCCAGGGTGGCAAGGGACTTCAGTACTCCACCATCACAACTAGACAGGAGAAATCAACAAAGGCATATCAGAGTTACACCACACACGGAACACGTGATGTAACAGATATCCTGAGAATGTTTCCTCCAACAACGTAACACACACTTTTCTCAACAACACACAGAACTTTTTCCAAAACAGGACATATCTCAGGCCAGAAAGCATGCTTGAATAATTCAAAAGAATTTAAATAATCCCCATACACTGTGCTATCAGATGGTTGCCAAATGAAGCAAGAAATTAGCAGCAAGTAAAGTCAGAGAAACTATGCAAACATGTGGAGATTAAATAATACATTATTGAGTATCGATGAGTCACAGAAAAAGTCAGGAAAGAAATAAAACACGTTCCCAGGATCAAGCGGCAATGCCAGCACAGCCCCCCAAAGCCGCAGGGACACAGTGAAAGCAGCCCTACAGGGGAGGTTAACAGCCATGAACACACACATTAAAGGAGGTGACCTCAAATAAATAACCTAATGGTGCATCTCAAGGTCCCAGAGAGAAAGCAAGGACCCAAATCC